TTTTGTCCACAATCATAGAGAAACTATTATTACTACTATTACCAGTATTATCATCTCGTTATCATTAAAAGCTCGCGGACCTATCAAGTTATAAAAATATTATGTTATTGCGCAATCGTCGCTGGTTATATATGCTGAATTTTAAACAAGTTAGGTAGCAAAGTCTTTTTAAAAATCAACATGGAATAGCTTATTGCTGTATATAATTTGATATTATGGACACTGCATACCTTGTCGTCGAATCTATGTGCACGTCTTCTCTGTCTTTCTTCCAAACGACCATTGGATCCGGATGACCTTTCGGTGGACTGCACTCCATCAGAGCCGTCTGACCTTGAGCCACTTTCGTGTCTTTCGGCTCCACTCGGAATTCGTCTTTGAGCACTGTAAACAAAAAATAATTATAAATACAAATGGTGGTAAATGGATGTTATGATTTTATCAGCGATATGTCAAACGCCAGTTACAGCAGTAAGTAGGATAAAATTAATGGAAAATATTATCAAACTCCGTCGCAGTCTGTATTTGAGGTTAATTGATTTATTAACTATAAAGCATCCTGCAGTCAACGTTTTATCGGCCGCATTATTTTGGTCAAAAATATAATATATTTTACTTGGTCCCGCAATTAATTTTCCAAAAAACCGCCAAATCATCGCTCTTGTGCGGTGGACACTGCGTAGGCTTTTTGGTGTACAAATTAAACAAAACTATATAAATACGGATTCCGATGATGATTTCTCATTAACGTATAATTATGTACAAGTGCACACCGAAGCTGTGCGCGTATTACTATAATATCATCATGGGTGTTTTATTGAATACGCGCAGTTTCGTCATTAGGTACACAGCGATGTGGGACATTTTTTTTTTCACCGCGATATACATAAAGGGATTAGGCACACGTTACACGCATTAATATTTTACGGGGGCACGGCATATATAGTAAAATATATTTTGCATTTTTAAACTTGTTTTCCGCGCCACCGCTTCGTACAAATATAAATCCGGATTAAACGCGACACCGGATTATGCACGCATAATAATAATTATATATATGTAGTGTAAATGCATTAGATATTTTGACTGGATTTATATGCAGATTTATCGTTTTGGGGAGGTGGCGGCGTGGGACGATTCGAAAACGAGTAAATTGAAATGTATGTACATTAATATTGAAACGGCCGCGAATTAAATGATGAATTTATGTGAATGGTCTTATTTTAGGTTACCGCAGGCGGTGCAGCGCTGGTGTGCTGAAGGGTGATGAGCTGCTGTGGTGGCTCTGGTCGCAGAGTTTTCTTTGCGGACATAACGGGAGTGGAGGAGGGATAGGAGCCAATTTCGTGTTTAAAGGGATTAAGACCGGACCCGGGTCGTCGTTAGGGAGGACAAATATTGACAACACAAGGGTTGTCATCGTGTCCGCCGTGCATGGTTTTTTCGTCTCTCTTTGCGAGAATTATATATATATATATAATGTTTATAATGCTTCTGTGTAAATATCATATTTTCCCTACCCGAGAATATCTGGTATTTGTCGCGGCAGCATATGATGTTGTCTTAAAAGAGAAAAATGAAAACACAACAATGACTCACTTTATATCATATATATATATATATTCAATTACGGTGTATACGCACGTTACGACTTCTGGCTTATGTCGTACGAAACGACATATACGCTTAACGAGCAGTCGAATAAAAAAAATAGAGCGAATTCTCACGAAAAATATTATTATCAACAACATAGTAGGTAACCGCTATAATATTTTTATTACTGCGCTGCACATTTAATACAAAAATCGAAAACGGTTATTATACTATATGTTTAGCATCTATTTTCGATAAAAAAAWAAATAAATAAACAAAGACACCGTCGCTATCGTACTCTTACATTATAATATTATTATGTTTTCAACGATAAAATACTATACATTATAATAACACACACACACATATATATAGAACAATAGTCGTCGAGCGAGCAGTGTTTGACGCCGATGACGCAAAGAACGACACAAAACGTCTAAGGATATAACAATGTAATACGCACGCTAAAAACGTGTACGGAGAACTATACTGAGAAAAAAAAACGATTGATATTCGATTCACGATTGTGTTACCAGCTACCTTTATATATACTATTACATCGCCGACTGGCGAGTATTATTGCCATATTGTTCGTTAAACATGACAGAAAAATCACTTTAAACGYCGACAGTCATCACCGTAAAATACGCATAGGTCTAGGAAACGGAAGTGATAATGCGCACATTATTATTATTCGTTTGACGCTGCGAATTTGAACGTTTTCGTGGTACCCATATTATATATACCTAACCTAACCGGAAGATTTCCGACGGAAGATAAATACATGACGACCGGCACCGACAATATTATAAAGGTCATGAATAGATTAACGACGTCGTCGACTAGCTGCCCCGGAAAAGCGAAGATTGCAGCAGCAGAGGTGGTTATTTYAAAAGTAAGAAATTTCCAAGAGGACTATATACAAAATATAGCAACTTGATATATATGTATTGACTCGGAGAACTTTTGAAAAGCACTCCGAAGGACGCCTCCATATGTATAGATATAATATATTCAGACAAGCGCGCGTATATACGCAGAGGAATTTTAAACGATTTACCTTAAATATATTTTATTACGAGTGCGTCGAATTGTACATAATATTATGTCAATAAGATTTGAATTTCACGTATAGACTTAAGACATAGATATATCTGGTATATAATTGTGKACTAGCAAGTTGACAGAGTGGAATGCTTAATATTTATATTTCTACGATGTGCCACGGATGGCGGACACCAAGATTATAATAATAAATTAATTATTCTATTTTATATCGCCATAAATCATAATATAATATATATAGTAATATATATATATGACTCATCTTGGATAAAATACGAATCTAAACGTCTAATGTTATATATTATGTACTTCATTCAGTATAATATGCGGCGTTGTAGGTCATCATATTATAATATTCTCGCATTATTTTCAGCAGATGATCTACTCATCTACAGGCTACAGCACTTATCAACTCTCATTTACAATTGTAAAAATATTTTCAAGAAAATAGTAGTTGTCAAGATATTTAAAAAAGTTACGTAAATAATTAGAAAATAATTTTAATCTTATTCTTTGGCCAAGAAATTCATATTTGGAAATTATTTTATAAAGAACAAAAAAAAAACTTTTTAGGTAATCATAATATTATATTTTCAAAAATACATTTTCATAGGAACTTTTTAAAATATTTAGTCAACATTTTTAAGCAATCATAATACAGCATAATATTTGGTTATCACGAGGAGAAAATATTTCTTATTCAATCACTTCTAAACATTCACAAAATATTATAATTTCCCAAATACTGTGTGGGAGGCGATATTGTTCAATTATCAGTAGTTCAGTATAGTTATACGCTGTGCAGGTGCGATTATCTTATACACATGCATATTAGAAGATGACTATTRAAAAAGTGCACCCAGTACTCGGATTTAGATATAAATAGATACTTAAAATTTGAATTCTCTCATACTATATATTATACAGGTACCTACGTAAAGAGCTCATTTTAATAATATTCTAAAAAAACCGTCATTAATATTATGGAATTGGTATTGATGAGCTATATGTAATAATAGTGTTTGAGTTAAACTTGTTTGGTTGTAAGTACCCATAGTAGGTATTATATATATAGGTACCCAAAATTACGGCTGATGCGCCAACTCACCAACTCTCTTTATAATATATTTAAGCCTCGTTCAACTCTCCTACCCTCCCCCCCTCCACCACCACCACCACGGAGGTCGTGCGTTCCAAAACGTGATTATACACTAATAGCATAAGTTTTAAGATGTAATATTCTATACTCGAATATTATAATATTGGCTTATTAATAGGTGCACGCGGCCAACGTTGGTCGGCGATCGTCGTCAATGAACGAGCTGCAGTATATTATATAACATATAWACACATTAGTCCTCCGAACGCCGAAGAGTAAATATAAATAATAATAATCACCGAGACGATTGATTTTTCTCCTGTTGATAATAATTACCCCACTCGACGCATGTTTTTACGGCTAATCGAC